TGTGGGGCCACGAACCGCGTGAGGAGTGTGCCAAAATAGGCGGCGGCCCCCGCATGCGGCTTGTGCCACTGGGGCTGTCGGAGGAGCTCCTTGTGGGGCCACGAACCGTGTGAGGGGTGTGCCAAAATGGGTGGCGGCCCCCGCTTGCGGCCTGTGCCACTGGGGCCTTCGGTGTAGCTCCCTGTGAGGTCACGAACCGTGTGAGGGGTGTGCCAAAATGGGCGGCGGCCGGCCTGTGCCACTGGGGCCTTCGGTGGAGCTCCCTGTGGGACCACGAACCGTGTGAGGGGTGTGCCAAAATGGTTGGCGGTCCCTGCATGCGGCCTGTGCCACTGGGGCCTTCGGTGGACTGTTCTCCCCTGGGGGGGAGGGAAGGTAGTAGTCGCAGTCGTAGATGTTGATGGGAATGAGAATAATGATAATGTGGTGGTACTTGTCGTACGGCCTATCCTTCGAAGCTCCGTAACCGGCTATTCCCAGGGCCAGGCTTGCACTCGTCCACCCATGTTTGCTAGAATCCTCCTCCCCTGATCTTCCAGATCCATAGACCCATCTGGACCGCTTAAGAACTTCAACTGGAACCTAGATATCGAGGTCAGGGTGCTACGGTCAGGGCCCTCACCCAGCATCGTCGCCCAGCACGAGTTCGCCCAGAGTCCCTCGGGTATCCTCTTCACCTCTGGGGGGGCCCGTCGGCGGACCGCCCCACCGATCCCCCGGCCTGGCCCAGGACACCAGGCCTCCGACGCCGTGGCTCTTTCTCTCACGGGGTGGCTCCCTCCTCCTCCTGCTCCTTCCTCCCCCTCCTCCCTCCCTCCTCCTCCTCCTCCTCCTCCTCCTCGTCCTCCTCCTCCTCCTCCTCCTCCTCCTCCTCCTCCTCCTCCTCCTCCTCCTCTCCTCCTCCTCCTCCTCCTCCCGCCAGTGCCGGACCCCCGTTGGCTCGTCCCGGCCGCGGAAGGTTTGCGGTTCGCCCCCCCCCCCCCCACAGCCTCCGCCCCGAGAGGAGCCAGCACTACTACGGCTGACAGCCAGGAGCGGCCCGCGAAGCCGCGGGCCCGAGCCCCCGTTGAGATCCCCCAGGCCTCGGGAGCAGAGCGAAAATCGGGGGCTCTTTTTTTCGGCGGCGAGCAAGGGCGGGAAGTGAGAAGGAGAAGGCCTTCTCAGAAGGCGGCGGGACTTCTCAGAAGCCCTCGCGCCTTCTGAGAAGTTGTTGTAGTTTTCGGGGAACGCTTAGAAAATTTCTCAGAAGGCCAGGGGACTTCCGAACCTTTTAAGAAGGCCTTCCCCTTCTCACTCACTTCCGCTCCTCATTCGCCGCCGATTTTTTTGGAGAGGGACACAGAAAAAAGAAATCGTCTGCAAACGCATTGGCGCGCAAGTTGCCCGCGCAGGGTCGCGCGCAAGCGCCCTCGTTTCCAATGAGGCGCGCTACGGTGGCGGCCAGCAGAAGCCAGCGCGTAAGGTCGCTGCGCCACTGGGCGTGAGATTGTGTTACGTCGCCCCGGTGTGGATAGGTTCAGGCGAGGACACATCGACCCCCAATCGCCCACTCATCGTCGACAGGGGCCTCACCATCCGAATCTTCCAACGCCTCGACCACTTTGGAGCAAGTTGTGTCGCAGTTTTCAGCCTATGGAATAGTCGCGATGTCGGAGGAGTGGATCTGACGTCACTGCGAAAGCACAGCGTCGCCAAAAATCACAGCATGAACTCTCGGCTCCTCGGCGCCGGCTTTTTCAAGCCGGATCGATTTGTGAGGGCCCCCTTTGGGGCCCGCAGCGGGGCGGAAGCGCTCGCCGTCACATTTTTATTGCGCCCGAATGCCACGGGGGCACGAGCACCAGAGCTCCCCTCTCCGGTAAGGGCGGGCCTACCTCTCGGGAGTGCCTTGGAGGCTTTTGTGGAGGCCGCCTCAGGAAGCCCATCGGCTACGCATAAGGGTAACTTTTCGCCGGAGTGACCTGTGGTGCGGGGCCACAGGGGTCCTCCTGGTGCGCTTGAAGTTGGTCCCCTGTCGGCCCCCTGCGCACCAGGGGCCACTCTTGCCCACACAACCTTGGAAAAGTAATGCACCTTTCGCAGGTCGTGTCGAAGAACCGTCCTGAGGACTTCCCTCGGGATAATGTTTCACCTCAGGTCCGCTTCTAACGGTCCTAGGGCCCAGAAATTGCCCCCAGAGGCCAAAAGCTACGAAAAGCCGAAAGCGACGAACACCTACACAGCTACGACTAAAGTTGCATGACTTGTCCAGGGCAGTGTAGGGTCACTCTTTCGCGCAGCCGAGCCCAGCGAGGGTCGAAAGCGCCAGGATACCTCGAACACCTCGAAGTTCTCGAAGGGTGGGCCTAGTTGTCCAGCAGCGCCCCGTCCGGGCGCCGCCCGCCCCCGCCTCTGCCTTTTTTTCGTCGTCCCGGGCGCGCGCGCCGCGAGAGCTCACAAAGGTGGGCGTCGGAGGGCCCCCTGCTGCACTCGCACGTCCGCTACTGCCCCGACGAGGGAGGAGGATCAGGAGGAGAAGGAGGAGGAGGAGGAGGAGGAGGAGCAGGAGGAGGAGGAGGAGGAGGAGGAGGAGGAGGAGCTGGCGCGGGGCTACAGTGGACAACTACGCGACGAGCCGCTGCCTTCTGGGCCAGTTGGACCGCGTGAGTGTCCAGCGTTGCCGCGGACCGCGGCACCGACTCCCTGCTCGAGTTCCTGGACGCAGCGCCACGAATCGGTGAGGCCCTCTCCGACGCGCGGACGGAGCTGTCCCTCCAGGGCGCGGACCCCGCGCCCAGCGCTTGCTGAACGCCCTGCAACACCCGGCGAAGCAGAGCACTCTCGCGCAAGCTGTGCAAAAGAAAACTCACGCTGCCCTGAGGCAGCCTTTGCAAGGCCACGAGCGGGCGACGCGCCCGGGGGCCCGGAGGGCCAGGGGCCGCGGGCTCCCTCGGCTACCCGAGCGATCCCGCTTGCTCGATGGAGCACGCATTCTGGGCCACGGGGTTTCGTGCCCGCGCGCTTGCCCAGGCCTGAATGCGCGCAGGCAGAGCTCCAGACGGCCGCGCAGACATGCCAGAACTGCCCTGTCGCCCAAGCGGCACGCGGCGCGAACTGAGGACAGCCGCTGGACGAGCAAGGCACGCATGCAGCCACATGCGCACTGGGCGGCGGTGTGGAGCGCCGCCACGGCAGCCTCGAGAGTGGCCGGCCTGGTCCGCCAGTGGCTGCACCGAGAGCCGCTGACGGAGCAACGGGTGCCGGCATGGGACCGCGTCAGCAGCCGGCGACCCGCGGACCCGCCAGGCGCGGACTTCTTCGAGCGCGCGGGCGGTTCCCCACGTCGAGTACAACGACGGGGTTCGCCGCCACTGAATCGATATCTCGGTCCGTCACCCGGCAGCCGAGGGCGCGGTGCAAGCGGCGGCGCGCTGGCCCAGCGAGGCCGCCAGGCTGGGCGAGCGCAAGAAACACGCCAGGTACCCGGGGGAGCTCCCGACAACGTTTTTGGGTGAGACCCCGGGTCGCTTCGGCTGGGAAGCCAGACAATGGCTTCTTCGGCAAGTGCAGACCTTGCTGGGCGACCGCCAGCTCGATGAGTTCGCGAAGGCCCACAGAGTCGTGAGCTGCGTGGCCCAGACCCAGCTGGCTCGTCAGCGCCGCCGGGCGACTGGGCTCACCTGGCAGCCTTGGCCCCGCGGAAGCCCCTGCTCGCCTGTTGACCTCCTTCTCCTCCCCCTCCCTTCCTATGGCCGCCGCTTCGCCTTCCTCCTCCTGCCCTCTCCCTGGCCACCGCTTCGCCTCGCCTCCTCTCCCTCTCTTTCCCCCTCTCCTTCCCCGCGCCTTGCTTCAGTCGGGCGCGCGTGCGCCCAACGTGGGAATCGGGTGGCGCAGACTTTCCTGCCGCGCGCCCGTTTTCCTCCGCGCCCCGTTTCTCTCCCGGTTCCACATTCCCTCCCTCCTGTTCACCCCCGCAACCCCGCGAGAGCGCCTGTGGCCGGCTCCGAATGGAGGCAACGCGCTTCGCCAGCGCGAGCAGCCCGGCAGGTTCGCTGCCGAGGTGTAGTTCGACCGAGCTTGAAACCCAATGCCCGGGGCCCCCCTGTGCGACGTGGATGGAGACCCACTCGGGTGCCCCTGGGTTGAAGGAAGGACGAGGAGAAGGAGGAGGAGGAGGAGGAGGAGGAGGAGGAGAAAAAGAAAGAGAAAGAGAACGAGGAGGAGGAGACGATTCCATCCTGCTGCCTACGGCGGCGACGCTTCTCTATATACGCTTAACGCTATTGGATATGTTGTTCCCCAATTTGTTTTCGAGCTTCGCCACCGTGCGATTCCAGTTCCAGCGATGACGGACTCAGACCCGCGATGCGCCTCACATGATCACGTGCGACGAAGAGGAGGACGAGGAGGAGGAGGAGGAGGAGGCGGAGGAGGAGGAAGAGGAGGAGGAGGAGGAAGGGGAGAAGGAGGAGTTTTCTGGATTGTTTTGTTTTCCCCCAGGCCCAGTTGGAACACACGCCCAGGATACGCAACCACCAAGCCAGCGGCACCGAAGCTCCGTCGACAACATGACCCCGCAACGCCCCATTAGTGCGCGCTCCTCCTGGTAGAGATGGATTGAATTCTGCGGTCGGGAACTGTTGGATAGCGCGTCGTTCTGCCAGTTTTGCCCCACCACGCTACGGCGCGACACGCTGTCTGGCCCCTTAAACGTAAAAGTCTTGAGTTTTCTCAAGCATCCCGCCCCGCGGAGCGGAGCAACACGCCATCCACTGGCAGGATGCAGCGTGTCACCGGGGCCGCGGCGACACGCTGATCAAGAATTGTTGACGCTTCGCGAATCCCCACCAGCTCCGACACCCGCTCTCGCACAGGTACGTTGTGACCCGCGCCATTTGGGCTTGCGTCGCGGGTATGCCGTTTCCCCACACTCGTGCGCGCTGCTGCCAGGGGTCCCTCGGCTTCCGCCACCCTGGGAGCTGCAGCCTGCCAACGCTTCGCCTCTGGCAACAATTCTTTGGTCGGCCGTCATTTGGACCACCCTGGTCTCCGCGCTTCGCGCAGTCCGGGGCCTCGCCTTTGCATTTCTCTTCACCACCTCGACCGACGTTTCGTTGGCCACGGCCAACCTGGTGCCCACGCAGTCGTCTGAGGTACGGTGTCACGTTTTCTCTCTCGGAGTTGTCCCTGGCCGTCGTTGATTTTCCGACGCGTGACACCTCCGACTGAAGTGCTTAGTTGTCGCCTCGCCCGTCGCTCTGTTTGTTTTTCCCGCGCTTCCCTTGCCTAATTCGTTTTTGCGTGGCCCGCTTTAACCTGACACGCCGGCGGCGCGCTCGCCCGCGGCCGCTGACAAAAAATAATCCCCACCAGCCCATCCAGAAACGATGCCCAGAGGAATTGCCTGGATCAGGGAAGTGGGCAGCACACAAAGGAAGCCAGTATGAGACATCTTGGGATATTTGGAGCCATCTTGAAGGTCATCTTGGGCTCTCCCAGGCGCTCCACGAATCATCTTAACCAGTCCCCCCCCAAGAGGCCAACATGTGGCTGAAACCTTCGTGAAATCAATGATTTGGCATTTTCGCCGAGGCCTCTTGGAGCATCTTGGGTGCCTCTGGGGGGTCTCTTGGGGCCTCTTGGGGGTCTCTTGGGAGCCTCCCGGGGGCCTCTTGAGGGCCTCTTGGGGCCATCTTGGGGCCATCTTGGGACCTCTTGGGGCCTCCTGGGCGCTTCTTGGGGCCATCTTGAAGGAGATCGATCAAACAAGAGGGGAACATTAATTAGCGTCGCCCCCCAGGAGGCCAAAATGGGGCCAAAACCATTGCAAAACCAATTGTTTTGGCTTCCTCGCCGAGGCCGTTTTGGCATTCTCGCCGAGGCCTCTTGGAGCATATTGGGTGCCTTTGGGGGGTCTCTTGGGGCCTCTTGGGGGTCTCTTGGGGGCCTCCGGGGGGCCTTTTGGGGCCATCTTGGAGCCATCCTGGGAACTCTTGGGAGCTCCTTGGCGCTTCTTGGGGCCATCTTGAAGGAGATCGACCAAACGAGAGGGGAGCATGACTTAGCGCCCCCCCCCCCAAGGAGGCCAAAATGGGGCCAAAACCCAAGTAAAACCAATGAGTTTGGCTTCCTCGCCGAGGCCGTTTTGGCATTGTCGCCGAGGCCTCTTGGAGCATCTCGGGTGCCTCTGAGGGGTCTCTTGGGGCCTTTTGGGGGTCTCTTGGAGGCCTCCCGGGGGCCTCTTGGGGGCTCTTGGGGCCATCTTGGGGCCACCTTGGGACCTCTTGGGGCTTCCTGGGCGTTTCTTGGGGCCATCTTGAAGGAGATCGATCAAACAAGAGGGGAGCATTAATTTGCGTCGCCCCCCAGGAGGCCAAACATGGGGCCAAAACCTTAGTACAACAAATTATTGTGGCTTCCTCGCCGAGGCCGTTTTCGACGCTCTGACACCTCGCGCCCCCCCCCCTCCAGGTCCATGGGGAGGGGGTAGGGGGAGAGAGGTAAACCCCTCCCCGAAGGGGAAGAAGGAGGGGTGGAAGAGCGCTCTAAACCACCGACGCCCAGAGGGCTGGTGGGATTCCCGACCGTACGGCTGTCGTCAGTGTGCATCCCCACGGCCGTTCCAGCGGTACCACACTGAAGGTGTCTCTGGAAAACCTCACAGGCTAGGGGCCACCTCGTAGCCTGCCGTCCCTGGCATTATTCTGACCCGTTCTCGTTCCCACGTACACCTCCAAAGCACACAGCCCATCCTTTGAGGGGAACTCGGGGTCAACGCTCCATCAGCCAGCTGGTCTTCCAAGAGCAGCTCAAGGGTAAGCATGCACCGCCGACTCGTCGACCGTCTCCTGGCCTCCGACCCGAACATTTAGTGAGAGGGCCGTCTACAGGAAGGGGGGGCCACCCCAAAACGCTAACAGCCAGGCCGGGGGGCACAATTAAAAAGTAATATTCAAAATTACGTTTTTGTCCGAAGGCATGGTTTGGAACATCCAAAATTGTGGTTTGTTGTTGTTTTTGCCCTGAAGGGCTGTGTGTGCTTGAATTCAGAAATCGTGATTTTATGGTGGAAAAGCTTCGCCTCTTTCGCCGTTCTTGAAGTGTTGTTGCACGATGAACGCCACGTGCCAAGCATGTTTGTGGGGAGTTGCGTGTGTATTTTCATTCGCGGTTGATCGCGCACTTGGTTTTGTTATTGTTCGTAGCCATCACGGTCCACCCAGCAATAGTACCCAGGCGAAATGTTTTGATCAGGGAAGTGCGGGAGCATTCCGTGTAACGAAGAGAAATGTATGGGGGAGCCGTCAAAGTGAATTTCGTGGGTCAGCCTGGGCACGCCCGGGCGTGAATGTAAATTCGCGGCCCTTGCCGAAACAGGCAGGGCGCAGAAGAATGATGAGGGGGCGGGGTGGGGGGGGGGTGGGTGAAGAACACGAGGAGGACGAGGACTAAAAGGAAGAAGGGAGGA